TATACACTACCATAATAAATAAAATAGCATTCAAATTATTCAAACCCTAATTATTTCTTATGCTCTTAAAAAGCCAATGTTAAGTACTTTAGAAGTCCAGACAATGCCAACATTTTAAAAATTTTAATTAACTACATATATCCCTTGGCTACTTCCAGGTAGACTAATTCATTCATTATATTTGATTTTCTTCACCGTTACTATGGAAACAAACAAAACCTTCCCATGGTCTTGGCTATCTTAAAAATCTAACAAACTGGTAATGCTTCAACATAAAATATGAGCTGTTGCCAGGTGGTGGTGGCACACACCTTCAATCCCAGCACTCGGGAGGCAGAGGTAGGTCGATCTCTGTGAGTTCTAGGCCAGCCTGGTCTACATGGTGAGTTCCAAAACAGCCAGGGCTACACAGAGAAACTGTCTCAAAAAGCCAAAAGGGGAAAAACCTGAGCATGACAGGGTCTGAGACGGAATCTCGAAATTCATGCATGGAAGACAAATACTCCACGGGCTGAGCTCCGTCCCCACCCTCAGCTGGTGTTGCCTCATTCTATTCTGATGCCATGGTAAACTATGACCTCAGTGCTTCTCCCATGGGAGGGGCCGCCTTGGGGCTGGAAAGTCGACTGTGTCACTGGTCACCCTAGTCCACATTCCGAGCCTAATTTGGTCTTTCTTTTATTTCCCCTCCTCCTCTTCCTCACTTTTTTTTTTCTATAGTGTTGGGATTGGAACACGGGGCTTTAGACTAGGTAAGCCCTCTCTCACTGAGCTACCACCCCAGTCCAGTTCATTGTGACCTGGACTCATTCTGTAGCTAAGACAAACCCATGATCCTTGAGCTTAGTCTCTGAAGTGTTAGGATTATTAGCAGGTACGGCGACCCCTCGCTGGGACCTCATTCTTAAGTCGGCTCACAGTGCTCTGACACCCACCTAGAATGAGTCACCAAGCCAATATATTTTGCATTTCTTTGTCTCTTTTTTTTCTCATCTGGATTCATAGAATTTAGTATTTTTTTCCAGTCTTGAAGGATGTATAATTCTTTCACACATTAAAATGCTGTCCAATGGGAAAAAAAATTGAATAGTCAAACACGCTCTGAAGGCACCCATTCAAATGGTAAATAAGCACATAGAGCATCATTAGTCACCAGAGACATGGAAGCTAAAACCACAGTGAGGCAGGATCGTGCACCCCTCAGAATAGCTGAAATATTTCCAACTAACAAAACACAAAATGGTAATGCTTTAAGAGCTGTTTTGGGCTGGGTGTGGTGGCGCACGCCTTTACTCCCAGCATTAAGGGGCAGAGACTGGTAGATCTCTGTGATTTTAGCCTGGTCTACAGAGTAAGTTCCAGGACAGGCAGGGCTAAGCAGGGAGACCCTGTCTCAAGCCAACAACAACAAAATTTTTGACAGTTCCTTAGCAATTTTTTGCCCAGCAATAACTCCTTTTTATCACAGAGGAAACGTGAAGGTGGCTCAGCCTTGCTGGAGCAAGTGGTCTCTGGGGGTGGACTTGGAAGGGCCACAGCTTCGACCCCTTTCCCGCCCGCTCTGTTTCCTGTGTACAGCTGAATTGTGCTCCCTCAGCTTCCTGTCTGCAGGCCTCCCACAGCAGCGTCTTCCCCACCGCAATGGCCCTCTAGAACCACAAACTAAAATGCACTCTTAGAAACTGCTTTTGGTCATGGTGTTTATCACAGCAGCTGATAAACGAGTAGTATGATGCTGACCACATCTGGATGCTTCTCTCCTGCCCCTGTGCATCATAGCGGTTTAAATCTTGGATCCAGAGGAGATACTGGGGGCCACGGTAGGCTAAGAGGCTGATACATTCCTTGTCTTTAATCCTAATGTGTTACCCACTAGAAGCAACAGTGTGTCTTTTCCCAGTCCTGCCTTTCCTTGGAACTAGCTATGGAATGCGCCCCTCCTAGAAAGCACTCCTTCCTCCTCTCAGGGTAGCAGGGTAGCACCAGCAATCTGCCAACCTTCAATCTAAGAACCAGGACCTAACAGGATGTGATGGCACAGGCCTTCATCCAGCACTGGAGAAGCAAAGGCAGGTGGATCTCTGTGAGCTCAGGGCCAGCCTGGTCTACGTATTGAGTTTCAGGACAGCCAGGGCTGTATAGTAAGACCCTGTCTCGGAAACAGACAGACAAGAAAATTCTGAGTGCCAGACTCATGACCAGCCCCGGACACCCACTAGCAACCCCACAAAGGGGCACTAATTCCTTCGCTTGTTGGGCACTGGTCTCCGATTCTTCAGGAAAGGACTTCGATGAAGCTCTGCCGGTGCCTTCAGTCGCCTTAGCTTGTTTCCATGGAAAACACTTGTGTTCAGTACCACAGGGAACCTAAGAAGGCAGAAAGCGGCCACAGTGGCTGCAATAACAAGTGCTGGAGAAAACGTGGTGAAACGGATCCTTCCCACCCTGCCGGTGGAAACAAAGCCAGTATAGAAAACAGCTTGGTCAAAGTCCCTCCCCAAGTTAAGTGTGGAATTATCACAGGACTCACCATTTTCTCACCTTAGTATAAACCCCAACAAAGGAAAACGTATTGCTATACAAAGTTTGTAAGAACATTCTTTGTAAGCGCCAGGAAAGGAAACAACACAGTTACCTCTCGGTGGATGAATGGACAAACACATGCGGGCAGGGAACCCAAGGTGGGCTTTTGTTTTTTTGAGTTTTGGTTTGAGAAGCTGGGATTGAACCTGGTCCAGTGTGGCATAGTCACGTAAGGGGTGTTATTCCGCCATAAGAAGAAGCAGGAGTCCAGTTGTATGCTAGCATACAAGCAAAACTTAAAAGCACTATTTAAAAAAAAATGAAGGAATCCAGACACACAATGGCACAACTTGGCAACTTTTTTTTTTTAAGTTAGGGTCACTAACTTCCTCAGACTCACTGTGTCACTAGGGTGACTTTGAATTTCTGGTCCTCTTGCCTCCATCTCCTAAATGCTGGGGCTAGGTGCACACTGTGACATCCAGTTTCATGCAGGGCTGAGGACCAAACCCAGGGCTTCTTAAACATAAGTTTTGGATGCCCTGTTTGTGGGTTCCTCTGTTGATGCGATAAGCCAAATCAGACTGAATTGATAAATCCAGATTTAATAAACAAAGCAAAGCAGTGAAGTGGGATGTTCTTCTGTATATGTGTTGCTTTTATTGGTTAATAAATAAAGCTGTTTTGGCCAATGGCTTAGCAGAGTAAAGCGAGGCAGGAAATCAGAACAGAGTATATAGAGAGAGTAGGCAGAGAAATGCCATGTATCTGCCGAAGGAGAAAGACACTGCCGCCGGAACCTTGCCAGTAAGCACAGCCTCGTGGCAATACACAAATTAATAGAAATGAGTTAATTTAAGATACATGAGTTAGCTAACAAGAAGCCTGAGCAAATGGGCCAAACAGTGTTGCAATTAATATAGTTTCTTTGTGATTATTCGGGTCTGGGCAACTGGGAAATTAACAAGAAGTCTCCACCTACAGGGCAAAGTGAAACTACTCCCAGGTGACTCTCTGGAAGTCAGGTAGGCAGAAGAGAAAAACGTGGCAGGTCTATGGGCCAGGTCTTAAATACCCTGTAGGTGTGGCCTTGAGCATCTCCGGGAGAGGAGCTGACCCTTGGTGGGCTTTCTGAGGGGCGGGGTTTGAAAGGGGCTGAGGCAGAGCTTCCACCTAGACACTTAACAAATGAACCCCATCCCTCTAAGATTGTCTTGAAGCAGACCCTAAACATCTCGTAGTTGACCTGCAAACACTTCAGCAGACAGCTCTGGAAATCGAGGGTCCTTGAAAAACAGCTACAATACCAACAGCCTCCTTTAAAACATTAATGTTATTCATAATTATGTCTACCTGATCCTGGTTGCATCGTATTTTTTCTTAAATAATTAAGTTTTTATGTGCATTGGTATTTTTGCCTGCACTCATATCTGTGTGAGGGTGTCAGTTCCCCTGAGAGTGGAGTTACAGACAGTTATGAGCTGCCATGTGGGTTTGGGGAATTGAACCTGGGTCCTCTGGAAGAGCATCTGGTTCTCTTAAACACTGAGCTATATCCAGCCCCTCTTTTTTGTCTTTTGAGGTAAGTATTCATATCTGGGTGGCTCAAACTCTAGGTAGCTGAGTCTCGAACTCCTCATCCTCCTGTCTCAAGTACTGGGATTCTAAAACTGTGCCTCACGCTCTGCCCATTTCTGGCATAGGAGGGGAGTGTCCGCAAGGGTCCATGTGTGTAGGCTGATCACTGGCCTACTGCTTCAGTGGCAAGCGGTGAAAACTCTAGGTAGTATGGCTGAGAAAGAGAGACTTGAGGACAGGAAGCATGCCCTCTAAGGTGTGTGGGCACCCACTCTCTCATTTTCACCTCTCTTCCGCATGAGCTGGAAGTTGAATGGGCCTCTCTGCAGCCCACTGCCACCTTGATATACCATGGCCCCTCTGCCACCTTCATATAGCATGCCACCCCTGGCCCGAAGCAAAGAGGCCTGAGACCTCCAAGAATGTGAGCCAAAGGAAATGCTTCCCTTTTTGTTGATTTTAAAATGTTTTTGTTGTTATTAATATGTACACATGCTCCAGAGATTACATGGAGAGGTCAGAGGTCAACGCTGTGGAGCTGGTTCCCTACTCCTATCCTTACGTGGACCCAGAGACTGAACTCAGATCTCCAGGCTTGGATGGTGTGAGTCCTGCTCACTCAGCCATCATGCCATCCCTTAAGTTGACTTAACCTCAGCATTTGTTAAAGATACAGAAAGCTAATGCATATGCCAGTGTAAGAAAAGCCCTCTCCATCGGCGTCACTGATGGCTTACACCGGGATGCAGAAGAGGGACGCTAACAACTCGAGTTTCCAACCGCTAATGGTTTCCGTTTCTAGTTACCTGCAGCACAAACGATAAAAACCCAGAGACAGATATTGGCCTTCAAGCCGAAGATCAGAAAAGCAATGCAGTCAACTATTAGAGAGATCTTACCTCTACCAAGGCACAGACAAAGGGACGATCCTGTCCTCAGCCTGACGGCAGACTGCAATGCTCTCCACCAGCCCTCAGTCCACAGCTGTCTCTTTCCGCCTTATATTTCTCTCTGCCCAATCATATCACTCCTGTCTTCACCCCCCCCCCCCAGTGCTGGGACTAAAGGCGTGGCATCCCAAGTACCGGGATCACCTTTGTGTGAGCTGTTTCTCTTTCAGACAGATTCAATCTTGTGTAGCTCAGTGTGGCCTCGAGTCCTGTGATTAAAGGTATGTGCCACCACTCTCTGGCCTCTAGTGGCTTAGCTCTGAACTCTGATCTTCAGGCAAGCTTTATCTATTAAAACACAAATAAGATATCACTATAGTCGCTGCATGAAATAATGACAAGTTCTAATACAGTATTCAAGTAACTGCACACTTGTGACAACCTGAGTCTTCTGGGTGCTGCTCTAACAGAACACCCGTGACAGGTCGTCTATAATGAACGGAAATGTGTTTCTCCCTGTTCTGGAGCCAGAACCGACAGGAGAGCGCCAGGCAGAAGCCATCTTACAGCAGCATCCCACAGTGAGGGGTTTAAGCAGGGGCGGGGTGGGCATCCTCTAAAAAGAACCCATTCCCACAATATTCAACTCCTATAACATCACCACTACTGTGAGTGTGCCTGTACGTGTGTGTATGTGTATGTGCAAGCGCATTCATGCACATGTGTGCATCGGTCAGAAGATCACCTCTGCTGTGGCTCCTCAAGCAACCTCTCTATATTTTGTTCATTTGTTCTGAGGCAAGGTTTGCCAAGTACTCTAAACTGCTGGCTAACAAGCCATCTTCCCATCTTGCCGTGCCTTTTCTTTTGTTTTTCAAGACATGGTTTCTCTGTATACCTCTGGCTGTCCTGGAACTTTCTCTATGAGTCAGCTGGCCTCAAATGCAGAGATTCCCCCTGCCTCTGCCTCCTAGTGCTGGAGCTTGCACTTTGGATATTTTATGTGAGTTCTGGGGTCAAACTCAGATTTTCACACTTGAGCAGTGGAACCATCTCCCCATTCCTCCACAGCCACCTCTTAAAGACCCTGCCTCTTCGTAAATGATGATTAAACTCCATCAGGCCTGGAAGGTAACTCAGTGGGTAAAGTTCTCACCCCTTAGGAATGAGAACTAGAGGTCAGACCTCCAGAACTCACAGAACTCCAGGCACAGGTGCCGCGTGTCTGTAACATCAGCGCGCCTACAAGGTGAGAGGCAAAGGCGGGAAGGTACCTGGGAGCTCTTGACCAACTAACCTGATGTATGCAGTGCAGACAACAAAGACCCTGTTTGAAAGCCGAGAGGGGACTGGCTCTCCAAGCTTTCCCCAGAGCTCCTCATATGCACTGTGACATATGCGTGCTTGCTCTCACACACATGCATGCACACAAATAGTCTTAAAATTCAAACTTCATGCCAGGGATACTGGTGCATGCCTTTAATCCCAGCACTCAGAGACAGGTGGATCTCTGTGAGTTCGAGGCCAGCCTAGTTCTAGGACAACCGGAGCTACACAGAGAAACCCTGTCTCATCTCCTTCATAGATAAATAAAATCAATATGCTAAAAAATTAACATGTTCAGCACCTATGCAGTCACCTAGCTGACTAGTGACCTCTCCAACATTCCCTCCATCCAAAATTGCAGTGCAAACGTCAGTCAGTACAAGGCCTCCTCAGCGGACTGAGTTCCAGCCAAGCACTGTTCACTGCACAGCCTCAAATAACTCCTCAGGTAACTCAAAATCTGGAACCAACAAATCACGAAATCTTTTTGCCAACCTTCAGAGTATTATCTTTCCTTCCCTTACCCCTTTCTTCCTTCCTGCATTCTTTTGTCGTGAGTGTGGTGTGTGTGTGTGTGTGTGTGTGTGTGTGTGTGTGTGTGGACACTTCAGCTGTCAGGCTTCAGAACAGGACCTTACACATTCAGTTTATGGCTCACGTCTACCTGAAGTGACCTGACCTCGGCCCAAACACAGCAGAGAGCCCAGATTAACTATGCCATCTATGAGTCTGCTTTCTCCCCCCTGATGCATTTCCTGGGCTCTTTCTGCCCCACGTTTATTTCATTCACGCTGTTTACAGAGCCTTTGTGTTGCCATAAATAATGTACCACTCAGTAACCCAAATTATACCTTTTTTTGACGTGAGTATAATTAGTAGGATCTCCCAGAGCCTTTATCATCCCAGAGGCAGGTGTCCAAATTTAACCACTCAGCTTATTTCATGGGACTTTTGAATGGTTACCTAGATTACAATATAAAAACCTACTTGTTTATTGTATGTGGCTGATTTCTTCCTAATGATGCATTCGCTCCACAGGCTTTGCTCATTTTCTGGTTCTAGTACCCATTTTTCTTACAGACACACAGAGAGAATCATTAAATAGTATAAAATGTACATTATAGCAATGTGTACATGTAGAAGCTTAACAAAAAGCATCCGAAGAGGCTGGAGATGTGACTTAGTTGGTAGAATGCTTGCTTAACATGCAGGGGGCCTTACTAGGTTTGATCCTAGCACCACAGAAGCCAGACTTGGTGGCACACCGCTGTAATCCCAGCACTTGAGAGGTGGATACAGGAGGGTCAGATATTCAAGGTTGCTGGGCAGGTACACATTTTCAATTCTGTTACTGGGGAGGCAGAGCCAGGTGGATGAATCTGAGACCAACCTGGCCTATACTGCAAGTTCCAGGCCAGCTAAACTCAGTCAGCGAGACCCTGTTTCAAAACAAAATCCAAAAGTTCAAGGTCATCTTCAGCTACAAAGAGTGTTCAAAGCCAGCTTGGACCGACTAAAAAGACTACAACAGTGAGTGCTCCAGAGATTCTGGCTATGTTTACAGAGAAGTGCAGATCTATGAAATCTTTTTTGTTTGTTTCTTTTTTAAGACAGGGTTTCTCTGTGTAGCCCTGAATGTCCTTGAACTCTCTCCGTAGACCAGGCTGGCCTCAAACTCACAGAGATTCACCTGCACCTGCCTCCTGAGTGCTGAGACTAAAGGCATGTGCCACTACTGCCTAGCCAAGATCTGTGAAATCTTATTTTTTTTTCAAGTCAACAAATCTAGGTGTGATGGTAGGAAAACTTAGAATTAGGAATTGGAACCTGGATCTTAACTGCTTTATAAAGCCATTGTGAAGATTACCTGGGGGTAGATTGGGCACAGAGATTTGGCAAAGAGGGGCACATCGGTAATCTTAGTTCTCCAGAGCAGAGGTAGGAAATCAGTACAAGTTCAAGGCTAGCCTGAGCTGTAGAGCAAATCCTGTCTCTCAAAACTCAAATCAGTAAGGAGATAGTATTTAATTCTTCCATCTGGAGACACATTTTAGGCTCTGAGGGAAGCTGGGTGTGTCGTTAATTCAGTTAATTAAAAAGAGAAATGAACTTTGAATGCCTGATACCGCCATCTGACAGATGAACTTGAAGCTCTTCAAAGTTAAAAAAAAAAAAACACACACAACTTGTCTAAGACAAAGCCTAACAGGGCAGTGCACACCTTTAATCCCAGCACTCAGGAGGCAGAGTCCCAGGCCAGCCTTGTCGTGTAGTAAGCTTCAGGCCAATGATGACAAGACAACTGTGTCTCAAAATCAAAAATAATTGTCAGGTGGTGGTGGCATATGCCTAGCCTAGTCTACAGAGCTAGTTCCAGAGCTACACAGAGAAACCCTGTCTCGAAAACCCAAGCAAATAAACAAACAACCCCAAATAATTGGCAACTGGTCCAAGATTCTACACCCTACTGAGGGCTACAGAGCTAGTAGGGACTTTATCGAAATCCAGTTGACGTGGACCTGACCTTGTTACACTTACAGGAAGAGTCCTGTTACAAAGTGTCTCTGAAGTGGAGAAACTGGACATGACCATATCTTCCTCTGCTACAACAGGACACATCAACTTAGAGTCTGGAGCCGGAACTGAACTCCAACAAGAGCTCACCACCAGCCAGTAGTCCTCGGTTTCCTGTTTGCTTCCCAGTTCCCGTATTAGCGCTGTCTATAGGTCCTACTTGCCCGCATCTCAGGATGTCACAAGTGCAGGACATGGAAAGCTTGCAGTGACCTCCTTTCCAAAACACCCAAACACCCCAAAGGAAGTGGTGTGACTTCAGCCCATGACACCGCAAGGGAGGTGAGATGTGATATCTGTGTCATGACAGAGGTGGGAAAAGGCCCCGTCTTCTGCTTCCCAATTACATGGGGTTACACACTCCAGACAGCTTGCTGCTAACAGGAGTTTTTCTCCTTTTGCATCCCATAGCTATAGCATACCAACGCAATGCAGGTCACAGCATTAACCGTGATGTAATTTTTAAATTTTTAAATTGCCCAAGGACCAACCCATTTTTATTTATTGCTTTTTTTGGTGGTGCAATCTGACAGAAAATTCTAAGGTCTCTGGTATCATTTACTTCCTGAGTAAGTACGAATTGATGCCCACTAAAGACCCATCACCTTACGCTGCGTGGGTACACCGCAACCTCCATCTCTGCTTTCCAGAGTCTTATAAGCCCACAGATGAGGTGAGCACTGATTGACATCACAGTGCTGGCAAATGCAGTCAAATCTAACATGTTAGGGTAGTCTGAGGGTGTTTTTCAGGGGTCTCAGTTGTCTAAAAGTGCAGGAAAGCTTCTTCGGGGAGACTGCATGGATGTGGAGTCAGACAGCCGTCGACTCGGGCTTGTGTGCCTGCAGACATGGGGTTCTGACTCTTGGACGTGTGCCCTCCTGTAAAGAGAAAAATTCGCAATTGGTCACATGCTGGGGAAAAGAGAGGTGCACGGTGAAAGCTTCTCTCACGGTATCAGACACACACACACACACACACACACGTGCGCGCGCACACACACACACAGGCACACGCACGCAGGCACACACACGTGCACACCAAGCTTAAGCACTTGGCGTTTGCCATCATTATAAAGTTGAGGCAACAGCAAGAGGAATTTGCTCCAAATTCCAAGGTGTTCTTGACTGTCGACTGCCTAGAAGCATCTTAGACTGCCTAGAAGACTCTTAGACTCTCCCAAGTACTCTTTTCAAGAGCTGTTTGGGGGGAAGGAGGAAGAAGAATTTTGAGAGTTGATTTCTAGCTGCATTTTAGCAGATGCTCGGATCAGATTTCCAAGCGACAGTGGGATACCTGAGAAGCAGATCCTAGGCAGAGGACGCTCTAGGTTAGTCAGACTTAGGAAGGCTCAAGAGTCAAGCCTTTGAAGGCAGATGGGAGTCAGGGTAAGGGCTGACTGAGTCCTCAACCAATGTTTTTAATTTTGGGGCAAGTCCTGGGGCTAAGTGGAAAGGACCTAGAAGAGGCGCAGGACACCAGGAAGCTGGGTCCCACTCCCTTGAGGCTCGGGGCGTTCCCTCCCCAGGCCTCCCAGGATCTTGGATTTTGGCCACCTCCGCACCCTTGGAATGGGTGTGGATGATTTCAAAAGAGGACGTGACCGCTGCCGCCGAGGAAGAAGCCAGCGCGGAAATTGGAGAGCACGCGGACGGGAGGGCGGGGAGAGAAGGGCGTTAGGGGAGGGACGCAGGGGAGGAGTGGGAGGATGGAGCGCCACGGGAGGGTACCGAGCCCTGGCGCCAGAGGCAAAGCAGGGCCGGGTGCCGGGGGCGGGAGCTCCCACAGCTATCGGCGGTCCAACCAGGTGAGATGCGGCAGCTGCTGCTGCTGCTGGGGCTCTGGGGGCTCTGGGAGCCGCTCGGCGCCCTGGCCCTGGGCGCCCCATCCGGGACCGCTCAGGCCGAGGACGTGGTGGAGTTGGAGTTTTCCACCGAGCAGCCGCTCCATCTCGTGAGTCCCTCGTTCCTGTCGGTCACCATAGACGCCAACCTGGCCACCGACCCGCGGTTCCTCATCTTCCTGGGGTAAGTGCAGCCCCTGATTCCACCGCGCCTGTCCTCTAGTCGCCTCTCACACTCACGAGGGCCAGCCACTCTCTTGGCTGAAACAACTTTGCGTTCGGTCTACCGAGCCTGCCTCTCCTGTACAGCCAAGCCCCAAAAGCTTTTTCCTGTTTCATTTACTCAGCGCTGGTTGCCTGGGCGCAAGCCAAGCCCAGGTTGAGAGGAGGTTTGGAGGATAAAACCCAAAGGTGTCACACGTCCCAGCACTTCAGCTGGAGCCTTTGAATTTGCCTCAGTAGAGGACAGTAAGCTGGTGTTCTTTAAACTCTCTTAGGACATTTAGATTTAAAAAAAAAAAAAAAAAAAGCCACGAAAGAAAAGTCAGATAGAAAAAGCTCCTGTGGAAAACATCCATCGCTCATCTTGCTGTTTTTTAAATCATTTAGCTATAAGGGCACAGGGTGTACCTCAGTTTGAGTAACGTGCAAGTTTGAGGCCAGAATGGATCAAACGGGTGGAGGGGGCAGAAGTGGGAGAGGAGGGAGGCAAGAGTATACCACCAAACCTCGGACTGCACGGTGCTTGTAAGCCTAGCACTTGGGAGGTAGGAGGATCAGGAGTTACAGGCCATCTTTGGCAACACAGCATGTGTGAGGCCAGACTGGACTAAATTGGAGGAGGGGGGGAGACAGGGAAGAGAAAGAAGTCTGAGACTAATTGAGAAAATTGGGGATCAGTGGGCGGGACAAGAGAAGGCAATGGGGGCAAATATAATCAAAATACATTTTATATACTTTCAAATGAGTCATGATGAAAGCCATTATTATCTATAATTAATATGTGCTAATAAACTTTTTAAAAAGCTTATGTTTCTCCAAGATGAGGGTGCAGACTGGATACTGCTTCGTCAGTGCAGGGTTTTCCCTTCTCCTGAGGAAACACACCTATTGCTTCTCCTCCATGAGTGCAGCCTGTCCCCAAGGTGAAAGACACCAGGCATACTCGAGGTCGTCTAAACCATGGAAGGCTCCAGAGATGACCACATCTTTTGTGGTTTTGAGACATTGCGTAGCCATTAGCTCAGACTAGCCGTGGACTCATGATCTTCCTGCCTTGGCCTCTTGAATGCCACCGCACTTAGTACATCCTTACCAGTCCTTTATGTCACTATTGTCAAAGGTGATTGCACAGCCTGAACCCACGCTATCAGGTGTCCCCGCTGACTTCACATGGAGTCTCACGGTTAAGAGTCTGACAGTCCAGCCACCCTGGTTTTCACAAATGTGACTCATGGGATTTGTAGGATGATTTGACGAGATAATAAGTACTCAATACAGTGTCTGAAGGTTACGCTCATTGTTTCTTCTTGCCTAGTGCACACCAAGTCCTGGGATCAATCCTCAACACAACATATAACTAGGCATGGCGGCTTATGACTCTTATCCTAGCACCCAGGAGCCAAAGGGAGGAGGATCAGAAGTCCAAGGTCATCCTCAGCTACTTGGCAAGGCCAGCCTGGGCTACATTAGACTTTGTCTAGAAGGAAGGAAGGAAGGAAGGAAGGAAGGAAGGAAGGAAGGAAGGAAGGAAAGAAAGAAAGTTTAAAGGCCAAGTATGATGGTGAACACCTTTAATCCCAGCACTTGGGAGGCAACCATGAAGAAGTTGAGGTTATGGGAGATTAAATAACTCACCCATGGTCAGTCAGCTAGCAAATAAAGGCAGTATTTGGAGGCAGACTCCGATCACAGAAATAAAGGCACACAGAAGAAAACAAGCCAGCGATTATTTTCTAAAGGAAACACAGCAGAGTATATTAGGAGAAGATTGTCTAGAAACAAAGTGAAAGACTGACTGATTTAAAGAAAAAAAACTGCCATTACCATACAGATAGGAGACTTGGTGCCCAAACCTCAGCAGTGCCTCCCAGGAGGGCTGAACAAATGAACTGGGCTGGGGTGATTCTGTTACAGGTGCTAGACGAAGGGAAACAGGTCTCTCACATTTGTAACCAGAGAACAGGCAGTACGAAGAATTTAAACGTTAATCTTAGAAGACTCTAGAATTGAAAAGGAACATCTGTTAAATTTCTCTTCCCTGGGGAAATTAGTCAGAATATATTCTCAGCCTGGATTAGTGCGGAATACCAAAGAGACCCCGGTCCCAGAAACAACATGAATTATAATGTCAGCCCCATATGCAAGGCACAAATGGAATTTTTAAACTTTTTACAAAAAGCAAAAAAAGCTAAACATGGTTGTTAGCTAGAATCCTAGCACTTAGGAAGCAGAGATAAAAGGATCACATGTTCAAGGCTAGCCTGGGCTACACAGTGAGGCCCTGTCTCAAATCGCAAAACAACAAAAAGTGAACACAGACAGTAGGAAGAGGCGTGTGGCCACTAACATTTGCCAGCGCTGGTGACAGAGTCCAGGGTCTTGCCACTGACCTGCACCCAAGCCCAATATAAAAACAGTAATGAGGTAGTTCACATTCCCTTTCTGAACTCATGCCTCTAAAATCTTGGGATTTATGTTTGCGCCGTGTCTCAGTTCAGCCCCACTGCACTTCAAGGGTCCAGCAGTGCACGGCTATTGTATTAGAGGGCGCAGCTCTGTTTGTAACAAGGCGTGTGCATACATGGCTGTAATTTCCTCATGGAGATGAGACGACATAATGCCGAGGATCAGTAGAAGTCATGAGTTCTACAGGGTTTCTGTGGCTGCAACGAAACAATGTGACCAAAAAATCAAGTTGGGTAGCATGGTAGTTTCAATGTAACTGGCCCCCATAATCTCATAGGTGTGGCACTATTAGGAGGTGTGGCCTTGTTGGAATGGTTGTGGCCTGTTGGAGGAAGTGTGTCACTGGGGTTAGGCTTTGAGGGTTCCTATGCTCAGGATACTTCCTGTTGTCTCAGTCAACTTCTTGTTGCCTGTAAGCTGTAGGACTCAACTACTCCAGCGCCATGTCTGTCTGTGTGCAGTCATGCTCCCTGTCATGACGATAATGGACTGAGCCTCTGAACCTGTAAGCAAGCCCCCAATTAAAGGTTTTCATTTATGAGTTGCTGTGGTCATGGTATCTCTCCACAGCAATAAAAGCCCTAATGAAGACAGGGAGGAAAGGGGTTATATGGCTTACACTTCCAGATCATAGTCCAACATTGGAGGGAGTAGGACAGGAACTCAAACAGCAGGATCCTGGAGGCAGGAGCTGATGCAGAGACCGTGGAGGAGTGCTGCTTATGGGCTTGCTCCCTGTGTCTTGCTCAGCCTGCTTTCCTATAGAACCCAGGACCACCAGCCTAGGGATAGCACCACCCACAATGTGCTGGGTCCTCCCACATTGATCACAAATTGAGAAAATGCCTTACAGCTGGATCTCATGGGGCATTTCCTCAACTGAGGCTCTTTCCTCTCTGATGACTCCTGCTTGTGCCAAGCTGACACAAAACCAGTCTGTACACCAACAAAACAAAAATGTAGGTCTTGCTTGCTTTGTATAGTAATTTACTTCTTTTTCTTCAGTAAACATTATTTTTTGCCATTTCAATAACATTTGTGGTGGTTTGAAGAAAAAAAAAAACGGCCCCCAAAGGGAATGGCGCTATTAGAAAGTGTGTTCTTGCTGGAGTAGGTAAGGTCTTGTTGGAGGTTTCCTATGCTCAAGCTACTCCAAGTAAGACAGTTCACTTCCTGTTATCTTCTGGTCAAGATGTAGCCAGCACTGTGTCTGCCTGCATGCCGCCATGCTCCCCACCATGAAGATAATGGATTAAATCTCTGTAAGATGCCACCTCAATTATATGTTTTCCTTTATAAGAGTTGCCATGGTCATGATGTCTCTTCACAGCAATTGAAATCCTAACTCAGATGTCATTCATTAATAATTTTAATAGTTAAATTCCCACATCTTTATTGACAGCTGCGTTCTGTATTTGGAGAAGCGTTTGTTACCAGTACAAAGTCTGTGCTTTAGTAGCCTGTGTGTTGGTTACTTTTCTGTTGCTGTGTCAACATACCACAGTCACACACAGAGGAAGGAAGGCTTTGTTTGGGTTTGGCAGGGAGGAATGGCAGCCAGTGGCCAGACCCGGAAGTAACACAAAGCAAAAGAGCTAGGCAAGTGCTCTACCACTGAGTTAAATCTCCAGCCCTCCTTTTTAAAATAATACCTATCTTTCTCTCTTTTTAATATTTGTTTGTTTGTTTGTTTGTTTGTTTATTATGTATGCAGTGTTCTGTCTGCATGCCAGAAGAGGGCACCAGTCGCATTATAGATGGTGTGAGTCACCAACTGGGTGCTGGGAACTGAATTCAGGAACTCTGAAAGAGTTAACCTCTGAGCCATCTCTCCAACCCCATTCTTTTTTCAAAAAAAAAAATATTTATTTTTGCTTTATGCACATTAGTGTTTTTCCTGCATGTATGTCTGTGTGAGTGTGTCAGATCCCCTGGAACCGGAGCTGCAGAGCTGTGAGCTGTCATGCAGGTGCTGGGAATTGAATCCTTGGTCCTTTGGAAGAGCAGCTACTGCTCTTAAGCATTGAACCATCTCCCCTTAGGCCTTATCTTAAAACTCTTCAAAGAACACCATTGTCTGGGGACCAAGTGTTCAAATAAGTGCACCTATGTGGGACATTTCTCATTCAGACCACCAGACCCACATCGCACAGGGCCGCAGGGCGCCTGTCTTTTATGGAGAGAAGTGATTTTGACTGAAGGGAGACAACGAACTGAGAGTAACCACAGGCCTGATCCCTGTTCCATCCCCTGATTGGTCTATTGGTGCCTCCTTCCTTCCCAAGCCATTCCACCGTGCTCCCTGGAGCCTTGAGCTTGGTAACCCTGCTGTCATTCCCATAGATTCCTTCACCCCATGCCCTAGCTAACTGAACTGAAGACTCCTCTGCCCCTGCAGACCTGTTGAGTGTGAGTTGTACATTTTTTCATACTCCGTTCATGTGCCTGCAACTCCTTCTAGACAATGGTTCATTAATCCGCATACAGACTGTGGTAGTTGAGATCCCTCTTGGCTTGTTACCGCTGGTGAGTTAGCTTAGGCTCCATATTTATAAAGTCAGAATAATAATGACACCCACGTCACTGTGATGTCCAAGCTGCCTAAAGCGCTGGATGAAACCGCTGTGTGTTAGAGATGGTTGTTGTGACCCCAGTGTGGGGTTCTCCTCCAGCTCTCATTCAGTCCTTGTCATCCCCTGGTTCCCTAGTCTCCATATTGATTAAAATCTATCGTTGTTCTCAGTTCCCAGTCCCACTATCTTCTTAGGTGGCATCAAGTTTACCTGAAAACACAAGTCTCTCGATTTCTCCATCCTCGTCTTCATCCTCTCAGAAAACAGTTCCTCAGCGTCAGGCCAGTTTGAATCGTACCATGAAATGTGACATTTCTTCCCAACCCCACATTCTGTGGCATCACACTCACCACCGTGGAAACTGGCGAGCACGGAGAACCAGGGTGCTTTTTTGCTGACGGTTGGCTGTTAGCTCACGTTGCTTGACTCCATTTCAGTGTGTAAACATCGCGAGCTTGTCTTGATTCTCTTCAGCTTCAGTAACATCACCTCTATATGTGAAACGTAAAAGTCCAACATGGTGCTCATGGATCCCAACTCCATACCTTCTCCGCTCCTTTATGTTGTAGCAAAAGTAAATTCTCTATCTCCTGCTTTTCAAAAAGCACCTCCCTGAGCAGCTGCCTCCTCTCTCTATCTTGTCTATAGTTGAACTTCTTGATTTGTCGTCCAAACCGTCCTGTGATAATAACCTCTGCTTCTGCCTCACTGCTCTTGCTGAAACACCAGTTGTCACTCAGTCCATCCTGTATCCTTCTTTTAGAGTCTCTGGGGTGGCCCTTAAATCTGGAAATGGAAATATGATAGCATTTAGTGCATACTAATAAGGCACCTTTTCTCTGTGTCAAAGATAAGCAATATATTTTTACCCTAAAGGTAAAACAAAGACACCTGCAGGCTGTTTTGTGTTTTGTTTTTGGTTTTTTTTTTTTTTTTTCCTTGACAGCCTCACTGGAAAGGGAACAGCTGCAGCTGCCTTACACATTCTTTGATTTCCATGGCACCTTGTGATGGGTGTTTCCACCTTCTTTCTCCTACATATGACTGAAATACTGTGCCTTTGATCAATTTTGTTTTTATGGAAAGTTTTGCAGCTGTGTTAAATCTGTTTTTTTTTTTTCAGACGGCACCAATATTGTATTCTAAAAACACAAAAGATACTTTGCTGCAAAGGAGACAAACAAAAGGTCCTTACTAGCAAAACTCCGAGACATATGACTTGCTTTATGTGACAGTGGCCGTAGCAGTGAGTTTTAATGTCATCTTGTTCAAAAACTGGTCATTGGCTGGCCTCCCCTTGCCCTTTCTCAGGCAGGCTTTCTTTGTTCATTCGCTTAACAAATATTGGCCAAGCACTGCTGTGTGCCAGGCCCTCGTCTAGGTCCTGGGAAGAATCCAACAGACCAGACAAGGTCCCTGCTCTCAGGGAACCAGTACCAGGGGCAGCAGCTGGGAGAGGCAGAGCAGCAAGCCACACGCGGAAGCCAATTTCAAAGAGTGGGAAATCCTCCGCAGGACACGAGGCAGGTTGGGTTGATGGGGGGTGACCCATGATGCTGCAGTCCATAACCTGGGGATCAGGCTTTGGTCCACAGGTGTCCGACCCAGGCCATCCTTTGGAGCTACAGCTCCTCTCCCCTCCAGTTCTCAAAGGACACCACACTTGCCCAGCCTCAATTACTTACAGATAGTAGCTACATAAATCTAAATGGATTTCTTTGTCATCAAACAAAATGAAAATGCCAAGGACCAGCCAATGCCCGGCTAAAGTCAGTGGGGGTGGTATAAGGCCTGAGTGGCTCTGAGCAAGTTCTTCGCGTGAGCTCTTGGGCTTTGTATTGGCGTTCACGGACTATGTGGCTATTATGTTTTGTTTTTATTGAAACATTTATTCATATCATCTTTAAGATCCTTAAACATATTCATAATTGTTATGCTGAAATGCTTGTCTTGCATGTCAGCTAAATTGCTTTATTCGGCACTTATAACAGTAGGGTGCTGGTTTCTGGAGGAGGCATGTTGTCTTGGTGCTTCATGTTTGTGTTTCTGAGCTGGGCTGTAGGCGTCTGGATATGACATTCGTGTGTTTCTTTATATAGATGTCTGGTCTCCGTTGCTGCTTGGGTGTCTGGTGCTTTGGTTGCTGTCACTCAAATCTGACAAGTTGTGAACCAGCAGAATGACACTTGGCTTTCAGTCGGAAGCCACTCTGAGTTTCTGTGTTCAGACTCTAACTGGTCCCAGATCTGAAGTTCTGATTGGGACTCTGAGTTTATACTTCAAGCAGTCCCAGACTGGTGAGGAGGGTGGAGTGGGTGGGTGGGTTGTAGGCTATCATTGGGACTGAGGTCTCCTCGGTGGGGTCTGATGTCTGATTCCACCAGAGGGGGGCAGAACCAGGACTAGGGGTATCTTGGGTCAGCCAGGGTGGTTGCGAATCCCAAAGGGATGCAGATGGACTGGGAATGGGGGTGAGGTGGGTAACAGTGGTGGTACTAGGGGTGTTCTGGCAACATGAGGATAGAGAGAGTAGGGGAAGGAGAGCACAGGGCCCTTCCACATGTAGTTAGTGGCTGCAGAGTTCACAGAGGACATCAGGTCTGCAGGCGAAATGTGGTGGTTGGTCATTGTACCGAGCAGTCTCCAGGACACATCCCCAAGCCCGGATGTGTCTCCTGAGTTCCATTCACACGTGGCCTGTGGATCTGGGGGCTCGGTGTCCATTTATGCATTAGTTAGTTTTGTCAACTAACTAACTGGGACAAGATGCCTGACAGCGCCATGTAGGGATGGAAAGGTTTGGTTCAGTGTGTTGTCCACCACCTCAGGGAGGTCACGCTGGCAGGAGCCCAAGGCAGCCGGTCACTTGCGGCATCTGCACAAAGAGAAGAGAAATGAATGTTCACTTTCTCCCTTTTATTCAACCTGGGACCCCAGCCCATGGGAGGGTGTCACTAACGTTGAGGGTAGCTCTTCCCTCCTCCGTTTAACTTTTCTGGAAATACGCTCCCAGACATACCTAGAGATGCGTTTCCATGGTGATTATGAATACAGGCAAGTCGACACTGAAGCATTAGCAGCCACAGTTGGCATCTCAGTTTCTACAGAGTCTTCTGCCTTGCTTCCTCCCCCATCCACCTTATGACCTCATCTCAGCAGATGACAGCCCGTCTTCCAGGGCACGTCCCCACACTCACCCTTGGCTCTTCTGACCCAGGTGACCACTAAATCTTCGATGTCTGTGGATGAATATGTCTTGAGCTGTTCTCCTCCCTCGACCACCCTGGGGTGGATAGCAGCTAGAAGTTAAGGAGTAGGCCCACCAAGAGAGAAGGAAGTGAAAATATTTAACTGGACTTTCTCAGAAAATAATAATTACAAGTCAGAATGGTGGTGCACGCCTATAATCCCAGCACTCTGGCACAAAGGCAGGGGGATCCCAAGTTTGAGGCAAACCTGGGCTACATAGTAAGATGTCTCAAAAAACTGAAATAATAATAATTATTATTATACTTTCCTGCTTGTCTTCATAACAGCTCTCCAAGGCTCCGCACGTTAGCCAGAGGTTTATCGCCTGCGTTCTTGAGATTTGGTGGTACCAAGACTGACTTCCTGATTTTCGATCCCAAGAAGGAACCAACTTTTGAAGAAAGAAGTTACTGGCACTCTGAAGTCAATCACGGTGAAACTTAGAAAAGATTATATATTTTAGTTAACCTGTGTGCCTGTTGTGATATTCCTTCGGGGAAAAGGGTATGCTCAGACCTAGGTATTAGACAAGCAGAGGACCCCAGGGGAATGAGGAAGTCGTGGGCGGCTTTCCTGGGGCATGCTGGGCATGGCCGGGGGTTAAAAACGGGCAAACAGTGGCTGTGCCCGAAAATAGCTGGTTGGAGGGAACACATGGCTAGAAACAGGGTCAGACTGGAGAGTGTTTAGAGGTAACAGCACAGTGATACACAGAAGCACATTATTATGAACGGAGACTGGGAGGTCGAACAAAGAAACCCAGGAGAAAACTTTTGCCTGAGTACCATGTGATTTACTGAGTGCTGGGTCTCGAATTCATTGACTGTCCCTACTGCCCAGGCTGAGTCTGAGCAGTGGGGTCTCGGGGCCCCAACCTTAGCCTCTGTCTTTAGCAAGCTTTTCAAACAGTTCTAACACGTAAGTGTGTAGACCTCACTTGCCCTTGGGGACCTGAGATTTGTCTGTGACCACCAGAAGTTCTGTGAAGCCCCGGATGTCTGTCAAACCGTTATCTGAACAGTTGCGAGATACGTTGTATGTCTTCCACCTTAAGAGTGTGTGTATTTCGTCTGCTAGTGAGTAGCGTTTAGTTAGTTCCTTCCTATATTACATATTCCTTTCGACTCACTCTCTCCAGAGAGAAAGTGTTTAGAATGGTCAGTCCCAAACCGGAAGAGTAGTGATTAGGAAGGAGCAGAAAGCAGCCTCCAGGGCCTGCTTTAATGATAAGTTCAGGAGTTTACTCAGCCTGGCTCTTGTCCACCGGTCCTAGATGCCCTGGTCCTCTTTTTTGGCCATTTGACTTTTCTGCATTTCCAGTCTAAGCTTAGATGGGACCCCCATCTTCACACCTCACTTTTCCTCATCCCGGGGCAGGTGAAAGGCTCCCCTGAAGCCCCAAAGCTCCTCTGAGACACCCCTTTGAGAGCAATGGGATAGAAAAGGGACTCTGTCAGCCGGTCACAGGCAGCTTCCCAGAAAGGAAGTCATCAGTCAATCCAGTCTCAAATGGTTCTGCCAGCAAGTGCTGGCTCCCCTGGTGTCTTGTGATTAAACAGTGCAGGCTTCCTGGGAGGAGAGTGGGGCTCCCATGCGCACCCCGTGGTTCCAGAAGCTGAGCTTGTACCAACCTTCCAGGGAGAACAGTAACTTACCAGTTAGCTTACCAGTTTGGACCCATTAGCTCCAATTCATTAGAGAAGAAACCACTGCAAAACAAATACCGTCCAGGTATAGCAACTTTCTACATGTTTTGATGTTTGTTTTTTTTTTTTATGTGTATGGGCTTTTGCCTGCATGTATGTAGTTCACTACATGCGTGCCTGGTGCCTGAGGAGGTCAGAGATGGGGCTGGAAACCCTGGAAGTGGAGGTACAGGCAATTGTGAGCCACCAAGTGGGTCCTGGGATTTGAACCCAGGTGTTCCACAAGAGCACCAAGTGCTCATAACTGCTAAGACATCTCTCCAACAGTTTTGTTTTGTTTCTAAGGCAGAGTCTTGCTAGGTAGTCAAAGCTGGCCTCAAATTCATGCGATCCTCCTACCACAGCTTCCCACTTGCCGAGATGACAGGTGTGTCACCACAGCCAGCTGTATTTTGAAAATGGACTTTCACGTTCGAGCTGCGTTCTGACCTCTCCATCCAGCTCTCTGATACGTTCAAGCTGCTGAGGGGATTTCTGAGTTAGTAAACCATCTGAAATCACGTCTAGTGTTCACGTCAGTGCTCTCCCAGCGTCTCTTAGGGAAACTGCCCATGGGTTGTTTTCTTGGCCGCTGTTAGTCAACAGATGTGGCACATGTAATAATATAACTTTCCCTGATTTTGTACTTAATAACTTAATAACCTAATTACCTTCCTTAACTACGTAATAGTTGGGTTTCAGCCTTGTCACTGTGAAGATTGTGGTCCTGAGCTCTTTTCTCTTTCACCTGTAGATCTTTGCCAGTCTGAACACGTCTCTGCCGATGTGGTGAGGAGACTCCAGACGGAATGGCCCTTCTTCGAGCTGTTTCTGCTGAAAGAACAGTACCACAAGCAGTTCAAGAACAGCACCTACTCAAGTAAGAAGCGCAAGCGCCTGCAGGTGTTCCAGCCGCAGGCGTGTTCAGAGAGGCTGCCTTTGGTCTGTAATACCCTACAGCAATGTATAGAAAATTGTGCAGTACTTAAATACCATCAAGAGCTAATGGGGGGGGGGCTCAGTGGTAAGATGCTTGCCACACACATATGAGGATCCCCGGCATTCACAGAAAAACTCGATGGTTTTTTTTTTAATGTGAGTAACCCCAGTACGGAGGCAAGTGGATCCTCTGAGCTAACTGGCCAGCTACCCTAGTCAGTTAGTGACATTCAGGTTCAGCGAGAGACCCTTTCTTAGAAAATTCAAGAGGAGGCTGGTGTGGTTGAGAGCAGGAAGGTGTGGCTCAGTGCTTCACGGCACGGACTGCTCTTCTAGAGAACTGGGGTTTGGTTGCCAGCACCCACATGAGTGAGTGACTCACAAGTGCCTGTTACTCCAGTTCCAGGGGATCTGACACCCTCTTCTGTCTTCTCTGGGCACCAGGCACCCATATGGCACACAGACATGCATTCAGACAAAACACCTACACACATTAAGTAAGTCATTTCTTAAAAGTTATTTGTTGTTATTTGTGATGGGTGGTGGTAATTTGAAAAAACAGATGAAAAACAAAAAGGCACTCAGTGTTGACCTCTGACCGCCATAAGCATATGCATACGCACATACTGCAGGCATGAACACACATGCATGTACACACAGAAAGAGTTAATGAGAGAGGCTGGCATACAGCTCAGTGCTACAGCACACTGAGCATGCGTAAGGCTCTGACTTCAGTAACCAGCATCTAGAAAAGAAAAAAAAGTTTGTATGGCTTTTTCCTCGACTTCTACTTTGTCTGCTGGCCACAGAGTGAGATTCAGAAGCCAGCCTTGGGAGTCGAGATATGAATATAGTCTTCGTGCAGAAGGATAATGTGGAAGTGTAACACCCAAAGTTCACCCACACTTCCTTGTTCTTCTGTTTCTCCTCTCAGAAGGATGGAAACCCCTATGTGTTGAAAATCCTGAATCCGAAAGTCCAAAATTGGAAATCCTCCAAAATCCACTGTTTTGAATCTCGGTTGAGTAAGAGACATGCATTTGGTAGAGGTTAAAATACTCCAGATCCAGGCACACGTGCGTTGTGAAATGCTCCAGATTCAAGCATGGGAGCTAAATATTTGACCTACTCATATGACTTGTTGGTTTTTTGTTTTAACTCATATGACTTGTTGGTTTTTTGTTTTATGAGACAGGGTTTCTCTGTGTAGCCTTAGCTGTCCTGGAACTCCTCTGTAAACCAGGCTGATCTCGAACTCAAAGAGGTTCACCTGTTTCTGCCTCCCAAGTGCAGGGATTAAAGTCGTGCACCACCACACCCTAATCTTAGTACCCTTATTGCTCGTTAACCTTCATATAACCCTCTGCTACCTTGTCCCCATCTCCCACCCCAGTTTAACCCTTTCTGTTCCATTATTCCCCACTTACCTCTTTGTACCACTTGTCCGAACTCCCTCGCCTGGCCTTGGCAAGACCATCCCCTTGGCCTCTTTCTCTATGGGTATTCTCAATGAAGAAGGAGTCAAAACTAAAACCCAGAAACAAGAGAAAGCATGTGACGTTTGTCTTTCTATGTCCGGTCACTTCACTCATAATGATTGCTTCCAGATCCATCCGTCTAGCTACAAATTTTATTCTTAACCACTGAATAACTTTTCGTTATGTCAACGTAGCTCATTTTCATTATATTCATTGTTGACGGACATCTAGGCTATTTCTATTTCCTGGCTGTTGTAAGTAGAACAGCAATGAATGTGGTGAGGAGGATATCTGTGGGAGGACCCAGAATTCGATGGGTGTGGATGAGGAGGGTATCTGTAGGAGGACCCAGAATTCGATGGTGTGGATGAGGAGGGTATCTGTAGTAGGACATAGAGTTCTTTGAATATAGGCCCGAGAGCCATAGAGTTGGATCATGTGGTATCTCTAGTTTTTTTTTAAGTGCCTGCACACTGCTTTCCATAGTTCCTGCACCCGTTTGCCCTGTCACCAGCAGTGGATAAATACTGAGTGTCCCCGTCCTCCCACATCTACACCAGCCTTTGCTGTCTATTTTTTTTCTCTCTAGCCATTCATTGTAGGGCGACATTGTCCTTTAAATGAAGCAAGCAAGCACTCATCACCGACTATGGAATGTTTCCATCTAAATAATGATGTCTGGTGCTCTTGCTTGGGGCACTCTGAGATGACGAGTGTGAGCTGTCATAACCAGATGCTTTTGTTTGTCTGTTTTTTGAATCAGTGTCTCTCTATGTAGCCCTGTCTGTCCTGGCACTCATGACGCTGACTAGGCTGACCTCAAACTCAGGAAGATTCTCCGTCTCTGCCTCACACGTGCTGAGATTAAAGGCTTATGCCACCACACCCAGCAATCTTTAATGTTATTATTGAAACTGTTTTGAGGTGCATCCAAAGAAGACAATGAACTTAACTGATAAATGTGTGTATGTTGGCAGGTTCACCCACTCACTGTTACCTGGCCCTTCTCTCTTGCCCTCCTCTTTCCTAAGAACAAGCATATCAGGGTTTGAGTCACAGCTCACAGTGGCCTCTGAGTACTCAAATGGAAAAAACGGGAGTCACACATTGCTCACTCTTGGTCAAAATCCAGATTAAACAGTGAGGACGGCTTATTGAACACTGAATGAGGACGGCTTATTGAACACTGAGTGAGGACGGCTTATTGAACACTGAGTGAGGACAGCTTATTGAACACTGAGGCAGACTGAACCCCGGGCCCCTGGCACCAAATAATTAGCTCTGCCCTGAATGCAAGAGGAAGGTTCTTTAAGAAAATTGGAAGTTCTACTCCAGTGAGCATGCGGATGATAGAAAAGCCAGACAGCTTTATCGAGGAGGTGTTAGTGGTCAGGATGGAAGATCAAAGTAGCCACAGCACTCCCTTTGCTCAAAGTCTAAGGCAGAGCAAGCCCTAATGCTCTTCAGTTCGGATGGGAGGACCTCGGAGCTTGGAAGGAGGTCCTTCCGACCCGCAGGGAACACTTGGGAGGAAGTAACTGCAGATCGTGTTACACTAGTGAAAGTTACACTAGAGAAGTGGCTTAGTTTCATTTGCTCTGACAACAAAATTTGTCGCAGCTGAGGAACTGTGCCTTAGGGATGAGCAAAGATGAGATTCCATGAGATGGGTCAGCTCCTGGGGAAGAGGCAGTGGACAGGGGAAAGGACAGGGTCAAACTCGGCCACTGCACAAACAGCTGACAAGACAGTGGCAGGGTCTGAGTGCGGGATTCGCGTTGCAGAAGCCTCCTCTCCAGGTGAGAGCCATCAAACCACACCGCACGGTACAGAGAAGTCATCACTTGAGGAGACAAACTTCTTTGTCCTCTTAAGAAATGGCTGTAAACATCTCAACTTCAGCCATCACAAACCCCATCAGCTAACAGCCACCCCAAATCAAGACAAGACCCTCTGCCACCAGCCAAAATGTGGCAGCCTGAGGCCAGATAATTATCATTTTAAAGCAGCAAGTTCTTCTTGTTTAAAAAGACATGCTGAATGCCTTTATGTCCATTTATATTGTAAACTAAAGGGAAAGATCCCGTCCTGTTTCTTTAATGTGTCGTCTGCCTTATGGTCATCCCAAAGATCTCAGAGAGAGAGAGAGAGAGAGAGAGAGAGAATATCGAATTGTGGCTGTCAGAGGACAACATACAGAGGTTGGTTCTCTCCTTCTGCCTTATGGGTACTGGGGAATCAAACTCAGGTCATCAGCTTGGTGGCAAATTCCTTTACCTGCTGTGCCTGTATCTCTGGCCCCTTATATTGATATGAGTGGAAGATACTCTGCCCAGCAAGCATGCGAGACTCTTGGGAATGACGAGGGAAAGACAGGGACGGTGCCTTACACCTGTAAAGGGTGGGTGGTTGGTTTTGGTTTCAAAAAGTTTTCATGTTCGTTCTATTGTTGTTCTTTGAGATAGTGTTTCACTTTATAGCCCAGGCTACACTCAAACTCTTGATTCTTCTGCCTTAGACTTCCAGGTACTGGGATCACAGGCTTGTGCCACTAAGCCTGGCTCTCAGCCTTGGTCTTTGTTGTAAATGTGTCTGGTCCTCGTTTGGGGACTGTAGATCCACACCCTGGAGGGTAAACCTGTTGCTTCTATGTAGGCGGAGTTTCTCCATGTCTTGGCAGGTGCTCCCAAATAACCACTAGTGACTTATTAATTATAAGTAATAATTATATAATTATTATAAATATAATTATATATAAGCCTGATAGCTCAGGCTTATTAATAACCAGCTCTTATAACTTAAATTAGCCCATTTCTATTCATCTTTGTGCTGCCCCGAGACTCATGGCTTTTACCTCTCTTACATGTCCTGCTTCCTTTCTGTCTGTCTGTCTCCGCCCTTCTTCTCCCTAGCATTCTCTCTGTCCTGGAAATCCTGCCTCGCCATTGGTCAATCAGTTTTTTGTTAACAATGAGAGCAATACATGTTGCCTGTTCCACAGCACTCCTGTTCTTGTCTGTGAGTGAGAGAGGTGAACTTATCTGATTCGGTTGGCAGATTTCTGATCCAGAGAGCTTTCTACGTCACACTTTTGCAACATGCAGGTCGTCGTGGGTGAAACTACAGCAACCCAGCTACGGTTTGCAGTAGGCTCTAGAGTCAGCTCTACGTTTTTGCTAAGTGCTTAGGGCTGCATTTGCTCTTTGGTCTACGTGTATTACTAATAACACAGAAATCCAGTGTGCAGTTAGGCAACACTAACTGTTTGGTGCCGTTTGGACCTCATAGGAAAGCGAGTGTGGAAGTTTGTGTGTGTTCTGTGATCCCAAGCTCAAGGCTGTCCCAAGCTGAGGCTGTAAGACCTAGTGGAGTGCTAGTGGCTACACTCCAGAGTGTCTCAAGTCCCAGTGTGTGTCACCCCTTGCTGATTGGCCACAGTGCCGTAGAAGTGACACCGCAAATGTCACACCTAACGCTCACTGGAGTTGTGCCCCTCAGCAGCCTTCGTCAGCAGTGTTGGACACGGTCATTCCAGCCAAAATCATCGCAGCCAAACAGAGCAAGGCCGCTTTTAAGGAGGAATTTTTGGCACTTACCGGATAGAGAGGTGTTTGTTTGTTTCCAAACTAGAAGAGTTCCTGAGGGAATTTCTGCTGAATAACGATGGGAGAATTCATATGAAAAACACCTATAATACCCAATTCAGAGAACACACTTAAATTGTATTGCTGAGGCTGGAGAGATGGCTCAGTGGTTAAGAGCACTGGCTGCTCTTCCAGAAGACCTGGGTTCAATTCCCAGCATCCACAGGGCAGCTCACAAACACCTGTAACTCCAGTTCCAGGAAACTCGACATCCTTTTCTGGCCTCTGAAGACTCTGCATGTGTGTGACTGTACACAAACATACATGCAGGCATGTATGGGTGGTTGCTTAGACATATAAAATAAAAAGTTTAAAATCTTAAAATTGTATTGCTGACACTCTCAGAACACAAAAAAGTTGCAATCCCAACACTTAGGAGATGGAGGCCAAAGGATTGACGTTCAAGGTCATACTAGGCTGTATAATAAGTTTGATTCCTGAATAGAAGAACCCGGGTCCCCTCCATGGTAGTCAGCTGCTCTACCGGCTGGGCTAGACCCCAGCACAGGCTTTTCTCTCTTGATTTACGTGTTCACTTGGGTCATTGCTTACGCATAATGACAGCCATTTGTTAGGAATGAAAACCCATAAAGAGCGAGTCTGGGGGTTGTCTTCATCGCGGTTCCAACACAACTGAACACCACCATCTGTCTCCTAGGGAGCACGGTGGACATGCTGTACACTTTTGCGAAGTGCTCGGGGTTAGACCTGATCTTTGGTCTCAATGCTTTACTTAGAACGCCAGACCTGCGGTGGAACAGCTCCAACGCTCAGCTGCTCCTGGACTACTGCTCTTCCAAGGGTTACAACATCTCCTGGGAACTGGGCAATGGTACGTACCCGGGTCCCTTTCATTCAGGAAGGAATTCCATCGCTGTTATTTGTCCTGTTCTAATATTCTTTTCTATGTTAGTAAACAGACTTCTACCTAGACACATTCATGCACGTGCTCAGCAATGGAAGGAACCGCATCAGCAGAGAGAGCCTCTGAATCCCAATTCCAGTTTATGGGTGTGTTAAGTGTGTGTGTGTGTGTGTGTGTGTACATGTGTGTGTGCATGTGTGTGAAGTGTGTGTGTGTGCAAGTGCATGTGTGTGCGTGCATGAGTATGCAAGTGCATGTGTGTGTATGTACACACATGCGCCATGTGCGCACCATGCATGTCGGGTCAGGTGTCGGTCTCCACCTTGTCTGCGGCAGGGTCTCTTACTGAATTTAAAATTTGGTGATTATTAACTAAACTGGACAGCCTCTGAGCCCTAGGATTCCGAGCTCTGCCCTGCAGCAGTGGGATTATAGGCTCGCTCCCACACCAACCATTTCGTGTGGTTGTCGAAGATTTGAACTCAGGCCCTCTTGCTTCCCACAGCCAGCACCGTGCTCCCGGAGCTCTCACCCCGCCTTTATGTTGGTCATTAAGTTTTCTTTTTCTTCTTTTTAATAAAATGTGTCTTGAGCCAGGCAGTGATGGCTCACACCTTTTATCCAGCACTGAGGAGGCAGAGGCAGGTGGATCTCTGTGAGATCGAGGCCAGCCTGGGCTACGCAGAGAAACCCTGTCCTCAACACTGCCCCTTCACGTTTTTAGATTGTTAAGTGTGTGACAGGGAAGGTCATGGGCCACAGCACACACCCGTATAGCTCAGAGGACAATTCCATGGAGTTGGTTCTCTCCTTCCATCTCTGCAAGGGCTGTGTGATAAATGCTTGCCCAGCTGGGCCATTCTGCGAGCACACCCTTATGTCATTTCTGAGGTAAGAAAAACAACTGGGGCTGTCGGATTCCCCAGCTCCCAGACTCCCTTGGGCTTTGCAGACTTTTGAACTTACTGTGCTTAGCAAACGGAACTCAGCGAAACTGTGAGTGTGATGGTTTGCTTCTCTCTTCTCTTCCTTTCTTAGTCTGTCAGGAAATCTCCGTGTGATGGTTTGAATGAGAACTGCCCGCATTGGCTGTGGTGTATGTGCAACCTGGTCCCCTACTGGAAGAACTGCTTGTGGAGTCTTGCTAGAGGAAGCACCCCACATTCAGTCTCTCTTTCACCCCTCTCTGTGTGTGACTAAGATGAGACCTCTCGGCTGCCTGTGCTGGCCGCCTACTGCCGTGCTTCACCCCTGGAACCATAAAAACAAAAGAAACTATTTCTTCCATGAGTTGCTTTCAGTTATTGCCACAAAAATAGCGAATACACTCCAAACCCACTCTGGCCTCCAATGTATGCTCAGGCTGCTAGAAGCTGTCACAATAGATTATAAGCAGTTGTGAGCCACCAGGCGAATCCAGGTCATGTGGAAGAGTAGTCAGTGCTCTTAACTACTGAGCCATCTCTCCAGTCTCAAGGAATTTATAAGTTCTGACTAATATGCTAATGATTAGTTAGGTTTGTTCAAAATGTATAAGAATTTTCTGTGCGTCAAGCAATAAAGCTAAATATGACATACAGAAATAAGATGCAGACATTTAATGAGCACAGCTGTGTAGGACAGGCCCTGCTCTGCACGGGGAGATCCTACCTTTCTTGACTCTTACGTGCATTGGTGTTCTGTCTGCATGTATGTATGGGTTTCAGATGAGCTAACCTGTGGGTGCTAGGAAGTGAATCCAGGTCCTCTGGAAGAACAATCAGCACTGTTAACTGCTGAGCCATCTCTCCAGACCTTTTCTTGACTTTCGATTCTGGGCTTGTAGTTTGAAAACTGTTTGTGGCTGTGTGCTTGCGTGTGCTCTGTTTAATAAAGAGTGTCTAGGTGAACGTTAGCATTGCTGTCTTCCAGAGCCCAACAGTTTCTGGAAGAAAGCTCACGTTTTCATCGATGGGCTGCAACTGGGAGAAGATTTTGTTGAGTTGCGTAAGCTTCTGCGAAGGTCAGCTTTCAAAAATGCAAAGCTCTATGGTCCTGACATTGGTCAGCCTCGAGGGAAGACGGTTAAGCTGCTGAGAAGGTAGGACTTGGGGGGTGTACAACTACTTTCTCCTCCTCCCTGTCACTCCCCTGCCCCCGCCTGAGACAGGGTTCCTTTGTGTAGCCCTGGCTGTCTCAGAACTCAGTAGATCAGGCTAACCTAGAACTCAAAGATCCACCTGCCTCAGCCTCCTGAGTGCTGGGATTAAAGGTGTGTGCACCACACTCCAGTGCCTTCTACTGTTTCTGTTTTTGTTATTCAAGACAGGATTTCTTTCTGTAGCTTTGGAGCCTGTCCTGGAAATTTCTCTGTATACCAGGCGGACCTTGAACTCACGGAGATTGGCCTGCCTTTACCTCCTGAGTGCTGGGATTAGAAATGTGAGCCACCACCGCCTGGCGTCTTATTTTTCTAATGGCTTAAAAAAAAAAAAAAAAGTGACCTTAAAAATTAGCCCTCAGAACTCAGTTTAGATGATCCCAGTTTTGTCCACAGCACCCAAAGCGTTTGAGGGGGCAGTTAAGCAACGTGCCCTCTATCAGGCCTGGCCGGGGTATCGGTGTTCTAGAGATTCCTTTCAGCTGGTTTGACTTCACTCTTGTTGGTCTTGAGGTAAACAGTGACCTGGAGTTTGTTGATGACTTCAGTTCCCACGAAGTGGTCAGGGAGAGCTGGATGCTAGCTAGCCTAAGGGGTCAGGCTCCTTTCTCCTGGGGAGGCTCTTGCAGAGGTATTTGAGTTGCCTCTGCGGCTGCAGGGTCGTGGGTCATGGGCCGTGGACGGTGGGTGGTGTGCAGCTCTTCTTTTGTGGCTGTGGACTCCTTTCAGGACTAGCTTCTTGGCTTTCATTGGCCTTGACCCTGACTTCAGCTCTGCGAGGGACAGGGGCTTCTTTGCTTTAGGTGCTCTCTTGGCAAGAAAGCAGAACCACTTTTCTTAGAGATAAACTTCCTTCCTGGTGGAGAATCCACTGTAGCCCACATTAGTAAACAGTTTGTGGTTACCTTGTTTACCGAAAGAGGAAACACTGGCTGAAAATTCCAGAGCTATGACTAGGGCGTCTGTGTTGCCTGAGACTCACACACTCGGTCATTCCCGGGGGATGGAACACTTCTGTAAATTTGCATCTGCTTGTTTGAGGTGTTTGACCCTGCTGTGGATCTTCCTTTCCAGTTTCCTGAAGGCTGGCGGGGAAGCGATCGACTCAGTGACGTGGCATCAGTAAGTACCCACACTGACGTGATGTCCCCATTACTGACTGCTGTTAATACCCTGCATGCCTCTGGGGTATGTTACATGACAGACAGCAGCTAATGGGCTGGACTTGCTGGTCTTGCAGAGGATCTGGGTTCAGTTCCCAGCTCACAACAGCCTGTAACTCCATTTCCAGGGGATCTAATACCTTCTTCTGGCCTCCAAGGGCATTACACACATATGGTACATATAAACTCATGCAAGCATATGTTTACACATAAAAACTAAAAGTCATTTGGGTGTGGTGATGCAGGAGACAAAGGCCGGTGGGTCTCTGTGAGTTTGTGGCCAGCTTTGTCTACATCGTGAGTTCCAGGATAGCCTGGGCTACAGAGTGAGACTCTTTTTCTAAATAAATAAACAAATAATATTTTAAAAAAATCTAGAGGTTTGGAAGTAGCACTCACCTTTAATCTCAGCCCTCAGGAGGCAGAGACAGGTGTATCTCTGAGTTAGAAGCCAGCCTGATCTACACAGTGAGTTCTGGAACAGCCAGAGCTACACAAGGAAACCCTGTCTTTTTTTATGTTTGTTTGTTTTTGTTTTGCTTTTTTTTGAGACAAAGTCTATGTAGCCCTGACTGTCCTGGACCTTTCCAGCCAGGCCTTGAAATCCCAGAGACCCACGAGTCTCCACCTCCCGAGTGCTGGTGTTGAAGGCAGGCAGTACCATTGCCCATTCTCGTCACACTTCCTGCCAGTTTTCAGGAAGTTATTTTTGCCTGGCTGCAGACTGACTTTTCAAAGCTCAAGTAATAAATGAGCAGTGTCTTGAACATCAATGCACAAGGGTTTTAAATGTTAGCAGAACAAAGGAGTCATGTTTTAAATACTGTGGCAGTTACTACAAACATGGAGGCACATGGCCAACTAAGCCATGAGCCACAAAAGCAGGTAAACCATGCTGGCCACAGAATAAGTAACACTGGGGCCTCAGAGTCACTAGGCTAGAATGGCCCCTCCCCACATTAGCTCTCTCTGGAAAGACTTCTGCCTTTGTAAAAACAACAGCAGTGAGAAAGGGTAGGAAGAAGAACAAGGGTCAGACCTGGTGACTTAACAGCAGGAAGTAAACTGCACATTTTTTTTCCTGAATAATTTAGCTACTACTTGAATGGACGCATTGCCACCAAAGAAGATTTTCTGAGCTCTGATGTGCTGGACACGTTTCTTTTATCTGTGCAAAAAATTCTAAAGGTAATAGTCTCTCTAAATTTTTCATCCATACCAGTCTCTGGGTTGTAGTCTAACGAGGCCTGTGGATATATATATATTTTTTTTTTAATTTTAATTTCAAAGGGTAAGAAGCACTGCATCTTATTCCCTGGTTTCCTCCTTAGCGTTGGATCTTTTTTAGTTGCAGCAATTAGAAATTAAAATGTTTCTAATGGCCTTTCAGTAGAATGAACTGTTACAGACCATATTTGTTTATATTCCTTCTATAGCCTACTAGGCCCATAAGAGATACTGGTGAAAACCTGAGCAATTCTAAATGCACCTGTAACTAACAGTCTGGAGAGGCACAGCTTGCGTGCTGTTCACATTCAGCACCGAGGGGGTTGACTTGTTTGCAGTGACGACTGTGGGACTCTCCTTGTTCCCCAGGTGACTAAGGAAATGCGACCCGGCAAAAAGGTCTGGTTGGGAGAAACGAGCTCTGCCTATGGCGGTGGAGCGCCCTCGCTGTCCGACACCTTTGCTGCTGGCTTTCTGTGAGTGAACGCTGCCCAGCTTTGGGCTCAGGTTCCGGCTCTTTCCCATCCTCTAATGTCAACCGAAACCCGCGTCAAACACAACTTCTGGGACAGAGCCCTAAAATTTTGTGCCAGGTCTTACAAAAAAGGAATTTTCCAGGCTCGAGGGATGGTTCAGTTGTTAAGAACACTGATTACACTCCACGGAACTGGGGTGCGAGTCCCAGCACCCATGCGGTGGCTTACAGCCATCTCTAACTCCAGTCCCGGGAGATCCAGTGCCTTCTTCCAGCCTCCACAGACTCCAGGCATGCTCCCGGTGTTCGGACTTACAAGCAGGCAAAACGCTTATACGCTTTTGTCTGAAATGGTTTGCTAAACCTTGTTGGACATCCTTAATTGTGTCTCTAATCAATGGTTGCACGCACAGATTGTTTCAGGAAGTTTGGGTAGGCATGACAGCACACATTTGTAATTCTGGGAAGCTGGGGCAAGGGGATTGCAAGTTCAAGATCTGACTGGGTGGGCTACAGAGTGAGTTCAAGGCCAGGCTGCACAACTGAGGTCTCAAAACACAAAAAGTAACTGAGGCTTAAGGCTATAGCTCAGGGATGGAGTCCTTGCCTAGAATGCTCAGAGCCCAAGGTTTAACCCGCAGTAGGATGATAACAGTGACAACCAGGAGGACGAAGGAAAGAAAGTTATGCTCTAAAAACAGGTCAAAGAATCCTTATTAATTAGCTTTCTGTGGCTGTGAAAACCCCCGAGATAAACGATTTAAGAGGAGAAAATGTTTACTGTGACTTGTTTCAGAGACAGCCTTTGGCCACCGGGTCCCGTTGCCTTTGGGTCTGTGGCAGAAGCACATGGTGGAGGGAACTGCTCACCTCATGGGTGATCAGAAGCAAAAGAGAAGGAGCCAGGAGGGCCCGATACCCTTGGAAGGGTCTGCTTCTTCCGACTAGGCCGTGGTACCTAACACAAGCCCCAGAGCTGAGGCCAGGCTCCAGCACAGCAGCCTTGGGAGGTCATTTAAGGTCCAAACCATACAGGGTCCCTCTCTAGGAAGGCTCGCTCTTTTCCAGGGGTGGAGGCTTGCCTATAATCCTGGCCTGTAGAAACCCACAGCAGGAGGATCGGGGTTCAAATGAAACCCTGTGGGGAAAGACGCAGGGCAGGCAAGGAGAGGAAAGAGGGGAGGGAAGATGTCCCCAGAGTTCCGGCTCTGAGGATGCTCAGTGTACACAGAGCAGCACTGCAGACTCTCAAACGTTTCACCCTAAAGCACTTACGTCACCCTTGAGGGTGACCTGTGAACGCCAGGACTGGCTGTGACTCCTCGTTGTCCACCGTAGGAGCGTGGTTGCTTTAGAGCAGGGGTTGATTATTCAGCGCCTCGCTGTCCCCATGCTCTTCATCCGGTAGCCTCCTGGGCCTTTTTTCTCTTCCATTCTTACCCTTTTGTTCCCGCCATCTTCCTTGTTACAAGTTAGAATAAAACACAAACCCTTCAGTGTTCATGAGGGCACAAGGGATTGAGAAAAAAAATGAAGAGTTGACGTTCATTGAAGGTGCCAGGGAGATGATCATAGCGGTTTGGTTGTGGTTCTGTGTGGCTCATATTTTGACCTCTGTTGACAGCTGTGTGTGTGTGTGTATGTGTGTGTGTGTGTATGTGTGTGTGTGTCTGCATGCATTGTGGGGGTAGAGGAGCAAGAACACAGGAACGAGAAGAGGAATTGTCTACAGGGATGGGAGCTTCGTTCTGCTCTGTAGAAGTCGTCTCGCCCTGGAGGAAACTCGCCTGGCTTGTTAGTGTCATTCTCGATAGAGCATATTGTCATATGGGAGGGTGTGCGTGTGCCCCCTTGTTCACCATCTCATTTGAATGACTTATTTGTAATTAATGCTATCCTTGCAGCTTCCTGTTGGTTCCTCACACACACATGAACAGATCTATGTGTGATTAGAGTGGAATGACGTTGCTTTCCAGTCTAAAGACACTGTGTGTCACTCTGTCCCAGGTGGCTGGATAAGCTGGGCGTGTCGGCCCAGATGGGCATAGAAGTGGTGATGAGGCAGGTGTTCTTTGGAGCAGGCAACTACCACTTGGTGGACGAGAACTTCGAGCCCTTGCCTGTAAGTGACCCCACCTTCCTGTGCCTGTGAACAGATGGGGGTCTGCTCTGGGCCCTGTGCTAACCTCCTAAGAATAGTCAGTCCCCACAGTAAAGAGCCATGTGTGAGCTGGGCTGGGGTGGTGCACGCCTTTAATTCCAGCACTCGGGAGGCAGAGGCAGGTGGTTCTCTGTGAGTTCGAGGCATAAATGCCCACGCATAAATGCAGGCAAAACACCCATGCATATAAAAGAAAAATATAAAAGCATAAATGTACCATTAAAATATCCTTAGAATAATCTATCTTCAAATGTCATCTTATATGTTTACATATTTTCCATTTATAAAAGACAGGATCATGTAACTCAAGCTGGCTTCAAACTCAATTTTAGCTTTAACTTGCTTTGCAAAACATCCATCCAAATGTTTAATAAAATGTATAGCATACTCTTAGTAGATGATATTTTATTTTTATTTATTTTATTATCATTATCAATTTTTTTTGCTTTTGTTTTTTCAAGGCAGGGTTTCTCTGTACAACAGCTTTGGCTGTCCTGTAACTAACTATGTAGACCAGGCTGGCCTCAAACTCTCAGAGACCAACCTGTCTCTGCCTCTCGAGTGCTGGGATTAAAGGTGTGCATCACCATCACCTGGCAAGTGGACAATATTTTAAAAGTGATTCCTGATTCTTAATTTCATCTTTTGAGTCGTGTGCACATACACGCACACACACATGCACACACGCACATGCATGCACACACCCCTGGGATGATCTGTATGGGCCCTCTCAGCTAATTGTGCCACACATGGCTCTTTTGTTTGCTTTTTGTTTTTCGAGACAGGCTTTCTCTGTAGCTTTGGAGCCTGTCCTGGAACTAGCTCTGTAGACCAGACTCTCTCAAACCCACAGAGATCTGCCTGCCTCTGCCTCCCAAGTGCTGGGATTAAAGGTGTGCCCCACAACCACCAGACTCTAAGAATAATTTTTAAGGGAATGATTTAAATATATTTAGCCAATATTTCAATTTTGTTACTGAAAATATTATGAGAGTTGATTTATCCGGATCAGAACGTATCCCATTCACTGTGTTCATAGATATCTCTGGGACCATTGTCATGCTCTTGTTGGATATCTATTTACTCGACTTATTAAAATATGAATAAGAGTAAAACCAGAGCTCTGTTTTCCATCCCTCCCCCAAATGACAGGATTACTGGCTGTCTCTTCTGTTCAAGAAACTGGTAGGTCCCCAGGTGCTAACGGTGCGTGTGAAGGGCCCAGCCAGTAGCAAACTTCGAGTGTATCTCCATTGCACAAACACCCACCAGTAAGTACAAAACACAGCCTTCCCCCAGCAAGTCTAGATTAGTAAGCGGGAAACTTCCTGTCCAACACCCCAGATGCCCGCTAGCTGTGTAATGGATCTCACCTCTCCTTATCCTTTCTTTTTTGTCTTCATGATACCAGGATCTAACTTCCAAAGACTTCTAGCAGGGCTGGGTAGATGTGGCTCAGCCGGGGACGTGCTTCTGTGGAAGCCGAAGCGTGAGGACCCGAGTTCAATATCCAGCACCCATATAAAAAAGCTGGATGTGGCAATGTATGCCTGTAGTCATGGCACCAGGAAGAGACAAAAGGGCCCCAGGGTGTGCTGATTGGCCAGTCTGTCTGAATTCGTGAGCTCTAAGCCAACAAGAGACCCTCTCTCAAAAAAGAAAAAAGAAAGAAAAGGTGGAGAACAACTGAGGAAAAATCTAATGTCGTCTCTAGCCACCATACACACGAGCACACATATACATGAACACACACACATACAGTTGCTTAAATAAGGGCTGGAGATATGGCTCAGCAGTTCTGCGCACTGGCTGAGGACCGGGTTCAATTCCCAGCACTTACACAGTGACTCACAATTGTCTATAACTCTAGTTTTAGGGCATTTGACACACAGTATATATAAACATATTTATATTTATATAAACATATAAAAAAAAATCAAGCCAGGCAGTGGTGCGCACATCTTTAATCTCAGCACTTGGGAGGCAGAGGCAGGTGGATCCTTGAGATGGAGGCCAGCCTGGTCTACAGGGCAAGTTCCAGACAGCCAAGGCAAAGAAAAACCCCGATTTAAAAAAACAAAAATAAATTAAAGATTAAAGAAACAAAACAATTATTTCAGCATAGACATTTGCAACCCAGCAAAGATTTACACAAGGATTTTAATTGTTAGAGTCTGTAGTAAAAACATATCCTGAATTTCGTTAGGGGTGGCTCACAAGTTAAATATCAGCACGTGTAGATGAGCAACGGATCCCTTGAGGGAGTATGCGTACCTGTGATCGGGAGTAAGTATGAATATCCAATTCTGTGGCTGTGTTGATCTCCTTATTTACCAAGGTAGGGAAAAGAGTCAACAATAACAACAGTCTCAAACTGTCGAGAAAGGGCTGGGGAGACGACTCACGGCAAAGGCCCCATCTCCACCCCATCTCCATCCCTGGGACCCACGCGGTGGAAGGAAAGAACCAACCCTGAAAATTGCCCTCTGCCCTCCCTGTGTGCACATGCACACAAGTAAATAAACCTAACATCTTTAACTCAGAGATTCCTTTTAAGCTGTAACTGGGCCAGCAGACAGCTCAGCAGGTCGAGGACCTGCAGGGACTGAGCTGGACACCACAGGTGGTGGACGAGAACCATGAGTTGTCCTCTGACCTCCACACATGTGGCACGCGTGTGTCCTTCCCAGAAGTAAACCAAACAAAAAAATTTTTTTTAATTTTTTTCTTTTTAATGATTTATTTATCTTTATTTTATGTGCATTGGTGTGAAGGTGTCAGATCTCATGGAACTGCATTTTCAGACAGTTGTGAGCTGCCATGTGGGTGCTGGGAATCGAACCTGGGTCCTCGGGAAGAGCAGTCAGTGCTCTTATCCACTGAGCCATCTCTCCAGCCCCCCCCCCAATTTTTTTTTTGAGTTGTGACCACAGTTTCTAGAGCCAGAGGCTATGCTGATGTCCCTAGTCCTGTACTCTGACTTTAGGTAGAAAGAGTTCCCCAAACCCCAGGGCTTTCCTTATCTGAGTTCCAATCTGTCATGGCAGCCGGGTTTTACTAGCCCAAAAGGCCACCTAGTGTCCTCCATTCCTGGGGACCGGGGACTCTGAATAGTGAAGGTCATGGTATCAAGTAGGGAAATTCTGAAAAAGTCCACAGATGTAGTTTTTGTTTGTTTTGTTTGAAATAGGATCTTACTAGGTAGTCTTGACTGGCCTGGATTTTGCTATTTAGACCAGGCTGGCCCTTGAATTCAGATCTGAGTAAGGGGATACATCACCACACTTGGCCTTTGTTCAATTGTCTTCATTTTGTGTGATATCGCATGTTCACATACAGGATGCACTGTGTGTTCACGTGTGTGCACGTACATACAAGTGTATGCATGACGAAGTCAGTAACCTCAGGGTCCTTCCTCACATGCCATCTACCTTTTGTTAGAGACAGGGTCTCTCATTGGCCTGGAACTTTGCCAGGCTTGCTAGGCTAGCCGGCCAGCACACTCCAGAGAGTCACATGTCTCTCCTTGCCATGACGCCATCACGAGAATGACCAGCACAAGCCACTGTACCCAGCTTCCCACAGGGTTTCTGGAGATCGAGAGAGCATGTTACTAGCTTATGCATGTCCCCAGCCCCATTTCAGTCTTTTTTTTAATTATTTAATATGTATGGTGTTTGCCTGTATATGTTTGTGTACCATGTTTGTATCTGGTGCCCTGGAGGTCAGCAGAGGGCATCGGATATCCTGACATTGGAGTTACAACAGTTGTGAACTGCCTTGTGAGTTATGGGGATTGACCCAGATCCTCCAGAAGAGCGGCCCAGGCTTAGTTTAGTCTTTTTATAAGACCAGGAATAGCTCTTGTTTAAATAGTTTATAACTGGAATTCACTGTAGCTCTTGTTATCATTAAACCTTCCTATACATAAAAATATGTTGTCTGGCTATGGCCTTCTGGAGCTCACGGTGGCAAAGGGGCAAAGCTCTTAGTGTTCCAGCTCAGGAGGTGGGGATGTGAGGAACAGTCCTTTCCTTGTTTTCAAAGCAGGGCCACAAGATTGGTCTAACATCCTCCTGGGAAAGGATGCTGATAGGTCCCACCACCGTTATGAACACGGGCACTCAGAATCTCTGACAGCTCAGTGTTCAAGTTCTCCGATGTATAAGTCAGACAAATAATTAACTAAGTTAACCTGTTCGCTTTTAGCCCAAGATATCGGGACGGAGATTTAACTCTGTATGCCTTGAACCTGCATAATGTCACCAAGCACGTGAAGCTGCCCTACCAACTGTTTAACAAGCCAGTGGACAAGTACCTCCTAAAGCCTGGACCCGAGGGGTTACTTTCCAAGTGAGTCACTTTCTTGTTGATGGCAAACTTTGTGTACGTTCCCTTACTTTTATCAGAATACAGAGGGTTTGGGGTTTTTTGTTGTTTTTTTTTTTTTTTTTTCTTTTTTTTTCCTGAGACAGGGTTTCTCTGTAGCTTTGGAGCTGGTCGTGGAACTAGCTCTTGTAGACCAGGCTGGCCTTGAACTCGCAGATATCCTCCTGCCTCTGCCTCCTGAACGCGGGGATTAAAAGTGTGCACCACAACTGCCCAGCGAGAGGGTTTTTTTTTTAATGGAGAGAAAAGGGTGCAAATTTTACATTCTAACCCTCTTTATTTCATATATTCCATATATGGATACTCATTTGTACAAGTGTAACGC